ATATATACTGTATATTGTAAAGTAGCTGGCATTAACAATTTATGAAATAATGTGTATTAAGAGTCTTGCTGAAACCAAAGTACCGTGATAAGTCAAGCTTAACAAAAAAAGGTGATGCAGTTCTACAGTTCCAACTAATAATAAAACTGCAAAATTGTCTGTAGATTTCTGCTTCTGGATATCAGTAGCCAGTGTAAAATAGTGTAAAAACTTAGAAATAAGAGCAAAGCATCCACCAGTTGTAGATAATTCCCTTTAAAATAAAGTCCAAGCCTTCATGTGGGCATCAACTGGTGAGTTAAAAGAACAAGTCTGCTGTACAATTGCTCCATCCAGAGTCCGGAATACAGTTCCCTTATTCTGTATCATTCCAAAAGGAAATGGTTCACAGTGCAGGTAGGTTAAGAGGTTACTAAGCTTCTTTTATTTGTTTCAGTCAGATGTGTACCTGAGACTTTTACACTTTAACTCATCTAATGACTTCCAATACTTGTGGTTCTCAGTCAAGTGTTGAATGAGGTTTGGCAGATGTGCAAAAGCTGTAAAAGAAGCAGACATTGGGATTAGTGAAAATTGCCGGTATCAATCCTCCTAGTGGCATGGTGTCTGTCCACATAATTATTTAGCCAATTTGTCTTTGTAGTTTCTTGTGGCTTATTGGCCTTCCCTTGTGGCCTTACTGGCCAAGGATAAAAGGTTAAACAAAACATGAAACACTCACATGTGATTACTACAGCTAAGAGTGGACCTGAACTCAAAAAGATTTGCAATGTTATAGGAGACATCTAGAAATGTTAATTGTGACTAAGAAGTACCCTGAAAGTTTTACCTTTTATCTTGAATTCCTCCTGAAAAATAGTAATACACCTTCTCTGTCAAGACATTCCTGTGCCTTGAGACTCATAGCTATATATCTGCACTGATCATCTATGGCACTGCTGCCTCTGACTGCTAGTCTCACAGCATTTGGAAAGAGATTTGGTGATGTCACTACTGTGCTGCTACTGTTCTCCTTGCTGGAGACAAATCTGAACTTGAGGACCTGCAGTGCCAGCATCTCCCTGCTTCTGCTTTATCCACTCTGTGGATCTGTGCTTTCGGAACCTTTCCTGGTGCTGCCTGATTATTCCTCTATCAATCATCAGATAATCAGTGGTTAGGGGGGCAGCTCTGTCATGAGAGAGATAACCACCTCAAGAGCACAAAACATGGCTTAGCAAGTCATTATTGGGAAGAGATCATCTGTAGGGAATCTATGGCAAAGATTGGTGACTAGTCCTTTATCCTTCACCTGCCTTTTTTTGGGCCTCTTTATCTTTTTGGTTGCAGATATACATTTCACAATATATTCTGTTCTTTTTTTGTTGCTTCTGTTTGCACAGCTCTCCCCACCTGCCAGTCACCAGGCTGGCATAGATATTCTAGCTTTGCTGCAGGCAATTATATATTATATAACAGTCATGAGAGAAGGCATCAAAGACACTGCAGTTTATGAAGCGAAGAGAGTCACGCAGATAACAACAGTAAAATGCTTGAAGATTATTTTTCATACTGCCTGTAAATCATTCAGTTCACTTAGAAATCCATTATATGTAATGTAGAAAAGTTGTTTAAAACATTCAGTTTTACTATGCGCTCTCTTCACTCCTGGAATTATACTCATACTCGCTGCAGCATAAAGTCACATGTTACATTGTTGAATATGGCCTGTAATATATGTATTTAGACTCTTACGTGACACACTGCAACGCCTTTCCATCCTTGTGTTAGAAAATACACTTCTTGTACATTTGTACAGGCAAACTGATGGCATATAGTACACATTAGTATTATTCTGTGCCTGTATCTAAGCATTGCAGCTTAGTTCAAACAGCTAAGTATATATATTTGTTGGTACCCTTCCACAAAAAGAAGAACCTACTATTTTCCATGAAATAACATGAAACCGTCAAAAGTTATTGCTACCCATCATTGTGTATTTCATATTTAATTAAAAAAAAAACAGGGGTTGCTTCTGATTTTTGAACAAAATATTGTAAACAGCCAAACAAATAAAAAAGGCATGAGCAAAAATGATGGGGCCCTTAGCCTAATATTTTGTTGCACAAACTTTAGAGGTAAGCACTGCAAACAAGCTCTCAATGAGACTTTTGCACTTGCCAACAGGTAGTTTGGTGCGCTCATCGTAGGCATCGTAGGTGTCTTCTCCAGACTGCATGTATCAGCTCTTTCCATAGATGTTCGAAAGGATTCCGATCAGGTCTATAAAAGGCCACTTCAGAATAGGCCAATATTTTGTTCTTTGACAGGTTTATGACCCATAGTGTCCGAGGACCCATGACCTGCAACTGAGACAGAGCTTTCTGGGCAGTATGTTGCACTTTAGAATTTTTTGATAGTCTTGAGACCTCATTATGCTCTGCACAGATTCAAGGTACTCTATGCCAGATGCAGCAAAGCAGCCCCAAAATAACCAAGCCTCCTCCATGTTTCACAGTAGGTATAGTGTTCTTTTCTTTGATATCTTAAGTTTTCATCTGTGAACATAGAGCTAATATGACTTGCCAAAAAGCTCCAGTTGTGTCTCATTTGTCAATAGGACATTCTCCCAGAAGCATTGTGGCTTGTCAATATGCATTTTAGCAAATTCCAGTCTGAATTTTCTATGTTTCTCTTTCAACAGTGTAGTCCTCCCAGGTCTTGTTACTTTTAGCCCACTGTCACTCAAAAGGCTACAGAGTGTGTGATCATGCACTGATGTACCTTGACCTTGAAGTTCAGCTTGTATCTTTTTTGAAGTTTTTCTTGGCTCTTTGTCTATTATTTGCACCATCTTTCTGTTCAACCTGGGGTCAATTTTCCTCTTCTGGATTCATGCAGGCGGGTTAGCTACACTCCCATGGACCTTAAACTTCTTCATAATATTTGCAACTGTAGTCACAGGAATGTCAAGCTGCTGGGAAATGGTGTTATAGTCTTTACCTTTGACTTGATGATCTAAAATTGTCTTTCTGATCTCCTCAGACAACTCTCTTCTTTGCTTTCTCTGGTCCATGTTCAGTGTAGTGCATACAATCATATCAAACGGCAGAGTTTTTCTCCATTTAAATAGGCCGACTGACTGATTACAAGATTGAAGACACAGAAAACAGTTTGAAATATCACCATGATCCAGTTATTTATAATATTTTCTAAGGTACCACCAAATCTGTCCAGGCCATTTTAGAATATTGCTGTAGAATCAGAAATAATTGATCTCTTTCTTTGCTTAACTCTTACTCTATGGCATACCAAAGGCATGCAGAAGACAACTGATTTTCATTGCATCACTTTTCAGGAGGAATTAATCATTGTTTCAATGAGCTGTAAGGGTACCAACAAATCTCTCCCCATTATCCGGCATTCAAGCAACCGGCCGAAAACAAATTGAGGACAAAATCGGGGGTTGCTTGAGAGTTCCTATTAAGTCTCAAGCAACCAGAAACTACAGTTATCCGGCATCTACCGATCCCCGTGGATGCAGGATAATTGGGGGTTTACCATAAATATTTTTTTTCCAAGTGTGCTTATTTAATGAACTGGATGAAAAGCCAAAACCTTTTTGAATAGGCTAAAGAATGGTTAAACCCCTGTTAGTTTTTTTGCCATCTGTGTCTCATTGGAGAGATTTTCCTTCACTTCCTGTCTGTATATGCGAGAAAAAATAAGAGGCAATCTCTCCAAAATGGGAGAAATCCTATCTTAGACAGCTGTCTCCAGAACACCAGAAGTAGTTTCCATTGGAAGATTCCCCATCTTTTGCTGTTCTGGTGACAATTCAAAATGTTGATTTCTCCCTTCCCCTCAGTCTCAGTGATAATGGTCACCGGGACAAATAGAGAAAGTGAATCTCTTCAGCGAGCACACCAAAAATTCATAACAAAATTACATCCTTCCCCACTCTATGCTTAATTAAATATATAAAGAGACTGTTGGGGTTTAATGAGAGGGGATTGTGTTGCATCCGGCTCTCCCTCTTCGTCCTAGAGCCCTTGATTTTTGTCCCCTAAGCACTTGGTGTTTGGTAAGTAGTGGGGTGTCACCAGGGCCGGATTTACTCTCTCTGCTGCCCCAAGGCCAGGTTCCTCAATGCGCCTCCCTACCCGCCAATCCCCCCCTCCCATGGAGAATGGCAGATCTGCAGGCGACATCGTCAAGATCACTTGTAGAAAACAAGCGGCGGCTTCCCCGCTGTACATTTAGCTCTGCTTGCCCAAAGCAGGACTAAATGTAGAAAACAACTACCCGCCCATCGTCCAGAACTGCATGTCCGGGCATCGGGAAATAGGAATTCCACACCCCTGCTGCCCCTCTACTCCCTGCTGCCCCGAGGCCGGGCCTTAGTTGGCCTTGTGGGAAATCCGTCCGAGTGTCACTGTACTGGGGTTCTCTGTGCCCATCGGGATGATCACAATATAAGTGGTTTAAAATGTATCTAAATTCACTAATGATGGAACAATTGAATAATTGTATACTATCATCATCAGATTGATTACCTTATGATCCCCAGAGGAAGCGGGAAAAGTGAAACGCGTCGGGATTCAACACCTAATACGCAAGCCAGCTCTAATGACCACAAACTGGGACTTCTGTATATTTTCCAAGAACTGATTAGGAGATACATATACAAGGAATCATTTCTGCAATCTTTGGTTACTCTTGGATATCTTCTGGCGGCGTACTTAGGACATGGGTGATCTTTATCATATGTTGATGAATTTTTCTATGCAATGATGTATGAATATTTATTAAATAAACTTTTTTTCAATTGTATTTGTGCTATGATTATGACGCCTCACTAAACCCTAACAGTCAACAGTCTCTTGTTATATATATCCTTTCATATAGGGGCGATGTGCCTTCAGAATGCGTATATCGGGACAATTTACTTTGTCACTTTCAACATTTCCTAGTGGTATGAATGTGCCATACAGTGTACAGAGTTCAGCAGTCTGGGGAATGTAGTGCACAGAGGGTACATAATGCAGAGGTTTTTTCAGTACATGGTATACATTTTGTTTCCAAAACAGATGTAAAGGTGTATGTTCTAATATGAGATTGTATGGACTTGCTCTTTATCTATTGCTGTATATGTCTTGATATTTTATAGTTGTATCGGTGCTTGTATTTTATATTTCTTACGCTCCCTTGTTTGTCACTCTCTACAGAACAACAGCAAATCTTAGCACTGTATATATTACCAGTAAGTCTAATGAAGCTGTGTGGCCCACGGACCATAATCTAGAGATGTGGGCAGAGCAGAAGTGTCAGCAAAGCTTTCAGTGTGAAGAACAGCACACTTAGAAGTCTATTTCTAAGCAATTCTATTTCTACCGTAGGAGCATAGGAAATAAATACTTCCTGTGCTCCTTGGCTCCATCTAGAGGCCATAATGTATTATTAAAACACTACATTCAAACTGGGAAAAATATATGAAGCACATTGGCATTATTCGTCCAAAACGAATGCTCGCAGATATCCGCAGGGCGAATGGCCCTACAAATTGTTTATAAACAGACCCCATAATGTACAACATGACCAGCACTATTTAGGCAAAGAATTGTTCCGTTCAGCAACTCAAAGAAAATGATGACTTACCATCCCACGCATCGAACATATCTGTGATAAAATAATCTATAAATGATATTTGGGATTTAGGTACGCTACAAGTGTTTCGGTCAAATACTGGCATCACCACTGGCAAACCTTGTCTTTTTTCTTCATCGGTCTGCAAAACAAATATGATTTTTGCATTAAAAGATGGCACAATTAAGAAATGTTTTTAAAAACATTGATGTGCTTTATTTAACGCTTTCCCTGCTGCTGCCGTATGACATATGGGCCCTATAAGCAGACTCCTGGCTGCTATAGTGTAGCTATGGGTAAAGCCAATTGTCAATCACTTCTACGGGCTGTCAAGTGTTAATAATGTATGAATCATCTCGTACATGTAAATTTGCTGACAATTTCAGTCATACCCACCTGAGCAAAATACTCCTCGGAGATTCTCCCGGCCCATTCTATACATAAATCCAGAGGTCGGCAGGGGTTAGCTACATCTGCACATTTAATCATCATACGTTTGATGAGTACACGATTCTCCGGTGAATTTCTGATGCTAGGAGAGCATTCACAGTCACTGCCCTCGCTCTGCAAACACAAATGTTTCAAGAACATGTATCAGCAAAACTACTTATCCAAAACTGTATTACTAAGTATTGCTAAACCAATGTACACTTAGGCCCTTTTCACACGGCGTTCAAATCAGGTCCACCTGTCAGTTTTTCAGGCGGACCTGATCGGAAGCTCGGTGTTAGTTAGTCTATGGGCCCACAGATGTAAGACAAAAATGAAGAGTTCCATTTTCAGATTGGAGGTAAGCGAATATAAGTGGGCATGTGTCCGATATTGCCCACAGACCAGGTCCAGTTCCTCCAATGGAGGTAAACAGTGAACAGACATGGATCTGTTCTATACTGCTCCAATTAGCAGGGGTTCTGCGCCCAGATTCCCTACACATGGGAATGGGCAACATCCGCGTGAAAGGGGCCTCTCATGATATAAGATCTCAGGATCAAATTCCTTATATTTACCTAGTGGCAAAATCTTGTTAGTTGGGTGTTAACATTACAAGCAGAAAATAACATATAAATGTTTTGATAATTAAATGTACATCACATTTCATAATTACATTTCATCTGCTACTTTTTCTTGATGAATCAAGCCCAGTACAGCACTGGATTACTGGATCAGTACTGTACTGATTACTGGATCACGTGATCAAGCTAATTCTTTACTTAAAAGGAGAACTATGGGGTCAGGGCTTTTCCCCATAGTTCTCCTTAGGGTAACGGGAGGACACAAACTAGCGTCCTCCCGTTACCCTAAGCTATGTACAGCTCGCGGTATACTGAGACGCCGCAGCCGGAGCGGATCCCGACATCGATGTTGAGACCCGCCCAGCTGCGTGAGTGACAACTGGCTCTGCCTATCTAGAGGCAGAGCCAGCTGTACCTGCCCCTCCCCCGTCCGATCCGCCAGTCAGCGCTGGCGGATCGGAGCGGGGAGGGGGGAATCCAGTCCCTCCCCTGTCACGGCTCAGGGGATTTGTGGGTGTGCACACGGCCACAGGCAGACACTGCTGCGTGCTCGGAGTACATATGGAACAGCCAGGGGAGGCTGGGAGAGGTTGAGAGGGTTGATGACACCCGAGGGACCTGTTGGAGAGACTGAAAGACTGAGAGAGAGTCAGTGACCCACGAGGGGTGAACAGTGCGAGTATCATACAGGTGTGTGATGAGATGGTTGGAGCTGAGGAAAGCTACTGAGCGATACTGAGGACTGTATTTGCGGAGAAATACGGTAAAGTCCTGGGAGTTTATGGGAAAACCAGATGTCCGTGAGACAGAAACATAACGTTTTGGTGAAAGTCAAATAAACTGTTATGTTTCGTTATGCTGAAGAAAAGCAGATTATTATGTGAAGTGCATGGATTGTTGGTCTTTGAGTGAGTAAAGATTGCCCTTTTAGGCTTTAAGAGTGGTCTCTTAGTGTTCACCATTTTGCTAAATTCCCCAAACCACCACAGAACATTAATAAATAGAAGCCAAGGGGCGTGGCTTGCTCATGGAGGAGACTGAACGCACACTGTGAGAGCTCTGGCGTCTCACCCGAGTGAAACCTGCAGGAACACTTTCCTAATCACCTTTTCCTCTTGTCATGGGCAAGAGGGGGTCCCAGACCCCGACTCGCAACCCTTCCCAGGCATCCAAGTCATCTGTCAAAGCCCTTTTCAAGACCTCTCTATTGGGCCGGACAGAGCCCCTCCGCTCAGGCTATCAAAGCCTCTCCACAGCCCTGCCCTCTGCCTACCCTCTCTCCAGAGAGATCTCCTCCCCCTGAACCATCTCTACATTGGAGACCTGCTTAATCCGTCATACGCCACTGGGTGGCAGCAGCACACCTATGACTGACTAACTGCAAGTATCATTATACTACTACAGCTGTTTACATTGTGAACTGTGTCAATTCAACCTAGTTAACCCCAGCTGCTCCCACTATTCAACTGTGTCTCATCAAACTTAATAAATTCACGTGCTTCCTATTTTGAACTGGGTCTTCCTATTGATATCTGTCTCTTCCAAAGAACTGTTAGAGGGGAATTCCTAAACACTTAAATATCCGAAGCTGAGATCCACACCAGCCCTTACAGCCGCACCAGAGTGTTACACTGATCCCCTCTTACCTGCCTTGGTACAGCCTCTGGAGGCCTCATCGTGGCTACCTGCTCTGCTGCGGCGAAGATGTCGCAGGGACCGCTTGGGGTCTACTCAGGATTCATTGTCTAATGAGACTGCTGTCTTGGGAACATGTCGTTTCTGCTTGCGCACCTTGTTGCTTTCCTTCTGTCTGTCAGCTATGGACGTTGCAGGTATGTCTCCTTTTGGATTTTTACGTGGACGAACTGCTTTTGGTCATTTTGCCTTTGTTAGAGCCAATTGATTGTCCTATCCGCTGGGTACCAATCCGGCGCTGGGCCCCCTAGAGCCCCAAGGCCCTGGTGCGTCCGCACCGCCTGCACCGGCGGTAGTTCCGCCACTGTATCTATTGGTCTCCTCTCAAGTAGCTCATACTGGATCTTGACAGCTCTATCTGTTAGTCACATTTGGATTTGGCTACTTCTTTCTGCTGACTTCCATCTGGGAGACATAGGACGTTGTGCAGTTTCCTGCGTGGTGGAGGGGCTTCACCTGGGGGGCTGTTTACTGCTACTATTGTTTCACTGCAAATGTCCCACAAGATGGGACTGTACACTGATGACATGCTGCTCTACCTGTCCAATCCGTTGGTGGGAAATTCTTCGTTATTACGGGAGTGTAAGCACTTTGGGCATTTATCTAATTATCAGGTAAACCATTAAAGGGTGGACTCCATGATATGTGTTTACCTTGCTCTGATAAATACTTTTTGCATAGGGCTTCCCCCTTTACGTGACAATCAGACCACATTAAATATTTAGGGGTGTATATCCCCTCAATTTATTGAATCTATGTGCTTAATTATGCTCCCTTATTGAAAAGTTTGGATGAAACCCTCCACTCATGGATGAATCTTCATCATACCTGGTTCGGAAGGATTGCCTTATTCAAGATGAACCTACTTCGACGTTGCCTCTACTTATTCCAAACTATACCGTTGGTTCTGCCATCTACCTATTTTTGCCAATTGAAAATGGCCATTTTGCATTATATTTAGAAGGGGAGGAAACCCAGGCTCTTTTACATATCCTGATACGAAAAAGGAGAGTGGTGGACTTGCCCTTCCAGATGTCGAGACGTCTTATACAACTACCCATCTCTCGCATATCGTGGACTGGTTTAACGTGCAGGATACCAGTCTTTGGTCTGTGCTTGAGCAGAACCATTCCCCGGTCCCCTTAACAAATCTTCCTTGGCTCCCATTTTCTCTTCTCCCAAATCCCTCTCTCTTGCCTTTTTTCTTCCCTTTGGTGTTGAAAGTCTGGAAATCGCTTAGGTCAACTTATGGGTTATCTACTCCCTACAGCCCTTTGGCGCCCGTGCTTGGTCATCCTTCCTTTTCTCTGGGATGTGGTGTTCTGACTTTTCTGTGCTGGCACTTATCGGAACCTTCATACATCTACCAATGCCTTAGGAACGGGATGATATAAAGTCCCTTTCTCAAATTTTACATCCTACAACTCCCTCACATGGTTCTTAGTTTTCGTGCCTACAATTGAGACATTTCATGGCGACCCTGTCTCAGGAGCACCAACTTCATAGAACCTTGACATATTTTGAGCAAATATATCCCTCCAAGACCATTTTCACTCATTTGGTTTCCCTTTTGTATAGGTCTTTTTACGCTATTGATCACCTGGGATTGTTGTACTTCATTTCTGCCTGGGAAAAGGAACTGGGAGTGGCTATTCCTGATAATGACGGAACCAAATGTTTTTGTCTTATTCATAAACTATGCATGACCTCATCAGTACAAGAATATAATTTTAAGCTTTTGACTCATTGGTATCAGTCTCCTGTGCAGCTACATCAAATTAACCCTGAGAACTCTGACCTCTGCTGGAGATGCCATACTGATGTTGGTACTATGACTCATATATGGTGGGGATGCCCTTTGATCAAACTGTTCTGGCAATCGGTCTCAAACGTCTACTCAAGAGTTGCTGCCACGGATGTTACCCTAACACCCCAAATGGCTCTGTTATCTATTCTCCCAGGTTCTGTTTCCAAAGTAAAGAAATCCCTTCCCTGCTTTTTTATCAATGCTGCGAGAGCTCTGATCCATACACATTGTTTCTTGATTCGGACCACCGGACCAGAGTTGACTCGTCGCTGCTCTCCCGCACAGTGAGTGAGGGCAAGGGGGAGGGGGCGCTATTAAAGCAGGGACTAATTGTAAATCTATGGTCTCCATTGTATTAGCAGTGTGTACCCTATATTTAATACATATAGAGTACACACTGCTGATACACGGGACACAATAGATTTACAATTATCCTCTGCTAACAGGAATGGATTAAATGATCCATATGTAGCCCTGTACTATGGATCATTTAACCCATTCATGTTAGCAGAGGATAATTGTAAATCTATTGTTGCAGTGCACTCTATATGTACATGTACTATATACTACATATAGAATGCACTGCAACAATAGATTTACAATTATCCCCTGCTTATATGAATGGGTTAAATGATCCGTAGTACATAATATGTAGTTGTACTATGGATCATTTAACCCATTCATGTTAGCAGTGCAGAATTGTATATCTATTGCTGCAGTGCATTCTATCTGTACACATGTCCCGTACACTGCAGTAATAGATTTACAATGATCCCCTGCTAACATGAATAGGTTAAAGGATCCATAGTACAACTACATGTTATGTACTACGGATCATTTAACCTACAGCAGTGTACTGGACGTGTGTGCTGTATATGTACTATGGATCATGATTTAACCTATTCATGTTAGCAGGGCAGAATTGTGAGCGCCTCCCACAAGCTGAGCACCGAGACGCGATGCAGCGATCCTGCCCAGCGCCGACTATGAGAGGCACCGCGTGAGGCAACAGGGATCGGATTGAAACTGTGAGTGAGGGAAGCTGGGACGGGCTGGCTGTAAATCTATTGCTACAGTGTACTGGACGTGTAAAATGTATATGTAGTACATATATATATATATAGCACACACCTCCACTACAATAGATTTACAATTCTACCCTGCTAACATGAATAGGTTAAATCATGATCCATAGTACATAACATGTAGTTCTACTATGGATCATTTAAAGTCACCTGTCCCTTTAAAAAAAATATCGGTAATTGGTATTGGCAAGTACATGAGGGGAAGTACTTGTACTTGGTCCTGAAAAAGTGCCATCGGGACATCCCTAATGGATGGCATAAGATATTTTTCAACTTATCATAGTGCTTTACAATAATTATGATGTCCTCTATTGGGGGCGGACAGATTGCTTGCTTTGCAAGTTTTTTTTTAGGGTGAGTATGCGCAGAATTGTTGAAATTATGTTTTGTATATTGCTTTAGTTTGTGTTACTTAAACCTTTCTGCCTGTATACAGTTATATTGAATAAAATTTGATTATGCAAAAAAATAAAATAAATCAATAGAAGCCAAGGAATACATACATTTGAGTTGGTCTCCTCAGCTGCAATGGGTTTGTTGATGCTGTTTACAAACTTGTTCACATGCTCAAAATGCCTGGTCATCTCTGTGGCTAATACCATGTCAATTATGGCTTGGCGAAGTGTTCGATACTGGGTCCTAAACACAAGAAGCCATGTTATTTCACTAAAATCAAAATTAGGCTTGATAAAATTCTACTCAAACATGCCAGAATACAGGTATTTTACTTAAGTATGTGGTTATGTAAAGACCATAGTTTTAATATCACTTCAGCCATACCTTTAGTCTGGCACAGTTGTACCAACTCCTCTCTTGCACTGAAATGGCTTACTCTGATTTCACTGCACTGAGCTTTTCGCAATGTACATTAGAAGCTGCAGCAAGTCAGACAGGGCCCGCCTCATTTCCTGGCTGGAGGACTTTCAGCATAATATAACTCTTTCCTTCCCAGCCTTCCTATACCTTTGTGAATAGACCCCTTAGTATTAGAGCTGCAACTAATTATAATTTTTTTTATAATCGATTAGTTAGCCGATTATTTTTTAGAATAATTAGATTTAAAAAAATTAATTCCCATCTTTTATTTAAAATACACGAATGGAGTGTTACAAACATAAGGCTTACTTCAGAAGTAAACTGCATGCACAATTTTTTGCAATTGCACGACACTGGTGTTAGGCGTGTTTGGGGTGCCATTGAAATGAATGGCACCATAACGCACCTCCCGCAGCAGAATTTGTCAGGCCGAAAATTACTTTTTCCCACGTTTAAACATTTTTTTTTCAAAATAATTGTATGTATTATATTAGACATTTTAATTAGTTTAATGGGTTTAAAAAAAGCCAGCAAAGGAGGGACCTGAAGGAGAAAGTTCTCCTTCAGGTCCGCTCCTATGTTGATTGACAGCAGGCAGTGGGTGGGTGCAATAGCCAATCTGCTATTGGCTACTGCAATTTAAAATAGCCAATAGCAGGCTGGCTATTGCACCCAATGTAGAATCCCAGCGGCGTTGGCTGACAGCTGGTCTCTCCTTGCCCCTGGGAGCTGGCTGCAACGGTCTGTGTCCCCTCCCATCCCTACTGCCTCAGCTGATACAGGCGGGGGAGAGCAGCAGGGATCGGAGGGGACACAAACTGCAGCATGCAGCGGGGTCCCAGTGGGGAGGAGAGAGCTGAAGAGCGACGGTGGTGGTGGGGGGGACTGGAGGTTTGGGGGAGCTCTCCTCACTACTGGGCACCGACTGAGTTCTATGCTCCCAGCAGGGATCAGAGGGGACATAGAGCCATTGAAACACCGGCTCCCAGCGCGTAGAAGAGAATTAGGTGATTCACACCAACTAATAGATAATAACGTTGACAACTATTCTCAATTATTATCAACTAATCGATTAGTTGGTTGCAGACCTACTTAGCATGACATGTGGGTGTTACCTATGGTGGTCTTCATGCAAATTCAGCCTGCTCAGAAACATCCACTCTTTAAGATTAACAAATCTATCAATCAGGGCATTTTTGTATTTTCATAACTCCTTCCAAGAGCAAGCACACCACTTGCCTCATGGCTCAAGGGAAACATTACAATAGTGCTAAATTCAGAAACTCTACTTATTTTGCTTAATCTCAGTGTTATAAAATACACTGCATCTGAGTGTTAATGCAGCTTCTTGGCACACCATTCTGTGCAATCTCTGTCTTCTTCCAACAGATAGTGGGTGTTACATTTATCTTTAGTAATAATGTAACTACATTTGCTCTTTCACATTAGGTCCAACCAATATATCATCATCGTTCTCACATTCAATCTGCACTATCATTTTGAAAAGAAATACATTCAATATTAAAAAATGAGCTTTTGGTGTACCTGTCCATGTTCTTGAAAATATTGCATTTGTTTTCCTTTGCAGTGAGTTGAAATGCGAGCGCGGAGTGGTGACTTTCTAATACAGCCGTGTCATTGTAAAGCAGGGCTAACTCACTGCCTGCATTGCACAGGAAAGAGTTGGTGCGTCCAGGGTGATCAACATCATGTACCGTGGCAGCTATTAGAGCGGCAACCTTATCCAGCTGGTCAAGGCTGGCCTACAAAAAGAACTGAAGTGGTCATCCATTTAGCACTATACAACAGATGTAAGTCAGTAACAACCCTGTTCCCTACGACCAATCCCAGTTTATAGGTTCATTCACACAGCACTCATAACTGGCCTTAATAATAACATCTGAAGTTGTATCTTCAGCAACAGTTATAGACAATTCATCTGGGCTTTTTAAAGTCAATGGTTAGCCTAGCTTCACACCTTTGCACTGCTGTAGCACATGTCACTACAGAATGCATGCATAAGGGCTCACATTAAGGGGATTATTCACTATGGAGCCGAAGGATCCAGCCGTAGCTTCGGTTGATCCTTCGGCTCCCTTCGGCCGCCGGAGCCCTTCGGTTCAGTAGAACCGAAGGGCTGCTGTACTGGCTATTCACTATAGCCCGTACAGCAGCTGAATGCAGTCGAGCAGCTCAGCCGAGCCGAAAGCATATGCTTCGAGCTCCACTGAGCCGAAGTGACAGCCAAAGCAGAAAGAAAGATCCACTGAAGGGCCGACCGATCTCCATGCAAATGACAGCTCTGCCCAGTTGTAATGGCAGATCAGCATCCCCAAATGATAGGGAGGCTGATCTGTCATTAAACAATAACAACTGGGCTGAGCCGGCTGTGACCTGATAGAAGACTCTGGCAGGTGCCGGCCAATAGGAAACAGTTTGGGGGAGGTAGCTGTCACGGCTAGCTCCGCCCAATTTTTTTTTTTTTGCCGGCATCTGTCAGATGCTTAATTATGTGGCGGGAGTCCGCCACATAATGAAGCATGCGGTCGGGTCGGTGTGCATCATTTTTTAATTATATATTTTCTTTAAAATATTGTTATTTTTAATTTTCCTATTTTTTTAACATTTTTAAAAAAATGTTTCAACTTTTTTTTAATTCATTCATTTCGCTTTTTTTTCTATTCTGCTCGCTTACCTCGGCGGTACCGAGCGGAATAGCCAAGTCAAATGCTGCTCGGCGGCATTTGGCTATTCACTTACTGCCGTTTGGCCCCTATAAGAATAGGGGCGAACAGCAGCGAGTGAGGCGAGCGATTTTGGGTCAGCTGAGTCGAAGTCCTTCTGCACCGAAGGCAGCTAAAAGCAGCCAATGTACGGCTGATTGTAGCCGATGCACGGCTGAAATCAGCCGTACAAGGCTGAAGTGAATAGCCGAACAGCCTTCGGTTCACTTCGGCTTAGTTATTCACTCGGCTGCCTTCGACAGCTAAGTGAATAACCCCCTAAATGGTGTTGCTTTCTTGTGTTTGATGTGCATTTGGAACGCAGGCCAGCGAAATCCTATTGACTTTAATAGAACAGTACACATGCCAGTTCAGAACCTGCTTTGCGATGCACTGCTTTTCTTTAGACAGTGAATGTTCTATGGGGGTGCGTTTGAACTGCAGGCAGACATTTCTTTTTAAATCCTACATTTTCCATTTGAATTCTGCTGCATGCATTCAAATAGAAAATGCAATGCTTGACTAGAATACCATTTGACCTGAACTCTTGTTGCATTTCAACACACTAAGGCAACAGACCTGCGTTGCATCGAACCACAATGCACATTAAATTTGTAGTGCACTTCATAGCCAAGAAAGGGTAAAGTACCATGCGACATCCTGCGGTGGCATACAATGTGCTGCGATAAAATGCAGCATGTTTGCATTTTATTGCAGTGCACCACCCATCACACCTGCATTGTGGTGTGAATGGGACACACAGAACACAATTGTTTTCCATGTGTCGACCTGGTGCGGTACAATGCAGGTTACCTCAGCATCAGTGACCGGGCCCTTACTTTCCATTATATACGTTCTCTACCAAGTAAAAAAAAAAAGCATTGCGCGTCTACTAATACATTTCACCATAAGTTGCAATTCTTCATCTTTATGTTGCTCATCATTTGATCAATGCTCTGCCTAACCATGTGTCCAGAGTGCTATAGTAACTTCTCACTTCCTATTGCGAAAGGAAGTAAAGAGAAATCTCCCCAATGGGACCCATCAAAAAATCAGATTATAAGTATTTTAAACTTCTGCACCCTATCCAAAACTGGCTATACTGTACATACACTATAAATTGGACCTGAACTCAAAAAGTAAAGATTTGCTATGTTATAGGAAACATTTTGAAATGGGAATTGTGCCTAAGCAGTACCCTGAAACGTTTACTTTTTGTCTTGAATTCCTCCTCTAGAGTATCAGGGTACTGTAAATGTAGGCAAAGCCACGCCTACAGCCTCATTGTTGTATATCTGTAGTGTGAAATCTAAGGCACTGCAGTCTCTGCCTGATATTCTCATGAGACTTGGAGTGAGATTTGACTAGTTCTCTGCTGTGCTGCTCAATGTTCTCCTTGCTGGGGGCTCTAAGACAAGGAAGCCAAGCACTGCCTCTACCAAGATGGCCACCTCCACACAGAGACACAGTGCAGAACAAGGCATGTTAATGTTTATTACCTCTTTTAAAGCCAGATTGGGATAACACCTATTTTATATTTGTTAAATTTTCCCATTCACAAAGCATAAGCTAAAACATCTTTAAATAATGCTTCTTGCAGTTTAAATTGCTTTTACTTGGGTTAGAGTTTCTTGGCTTTTTAAGGTTTAAAAGTTCTACTTGGCTTCTCCTGCTTTGTAATGTTAGGAGGAGTTGTGAGGTGTGAGGGATTTGCATTACAGACATTCCTCGGTTACCGACTTACCTGCTTTGCGACCACTCGCACTTACGACGGACCACCGAGCGACCTCCGACCCCACGTGTCAGCGTTAGTGCGACGTGTCGCCGGCGGAAGTGACATCCTCCGATCTTCACTGCGGGTCCCGGTAAGTATTTTCATTGCCCGATGCACAGTACACTGTTCGGTACTGTACATCTGCAACGCTATACAGTACTGTACTAATGCAGTACAGTACTGTATAGAGTTCCTCACTTAACGACCAATTCGTTTAACGACCTGGTCGTAGGAACTGAACTCGGTCGTTAAGTGAGGAATACCTGTATATGTTAATGAAGTTCATGAGAGAATCACAATCCTCAAAGTTCAGTCCCTAGTCTTTCTATATGAACATATCACTGTAAAGGTGCTCAGAGAAACCTTGATTCAGCGATCTTGTCTGCTGCAACAAAGCATCTAGAAGTATTTTTAAAAATTATTTTTTTGCTATGCTGTGTAAATGGGAACACATAACAAACATATAGAGAGGTTTTCTCAAATTTGACTGCAAAGGTGGAAATACCCTTTAACTCGGTAAAGGGGGAAAGATCAGCTCTAGGAGACCTCATTCAATACCGGTGACTTGTCCTTTGCTCTCTGCCAGCCTTTTTTTGGGCACAGCTTCCAGAGTTCAGTTTGCTTTTAATATGCCTGCACATGATGTTGAAAAGTAGACATACCTTTACATTTTCCTTCTCCAAGAAAAAGGCTGTGGCATGCAGGACATCAGCAGCATGTGTGGAGTTGTGGTAAGCATTAGACGCATGGTAGTTGGCTTCAATCACTTGTAGCCAGGAACGCAGAACAGCTTCCGAACAATTGAGAAACTCACCTACTCCAAAGCAGGCAAACACTTTAAGTCCAAGGTAAACCAACGGCCTACAAGAGATAAAGAGAAATATGTTTAGATATATATTGTAGGGATCGTGTATTACAACTTTTCAAACCCAAATACAATTTCATGATTCCCTTCCATCACAAAGACCTTATTAGATTAGAACGCTAATCTAATTTATAAGGTGTATTTTGTTTTACAATGAAGTATTGCAAAATTTAAAACTGAACTCCAGCTATAATGATTTATATGTCCAGCTTGGCACAATGTAAATATACAGTATATATATATATATAACCCCTGGCATGGCCACGGGGATCTTGTAAAACACTACAGTACCCACAGCTACTTCAGTGCTTCACAATGACCTTCTAGGTCCTGTACTGTCGCTGTGCTGAGAGACTTCCTTTCTGCTGTGAAAGCACAGGGAGTCATTTGCTCGGCACAGCGACCATTCAGCGAACGGCTAGTAGTTTTATCAGTAGGATACTAGGTGTTCTCTGGTTGTAGGAGAAGCGGTGATGTAAAACAGCAGGTAAAGCAGTTCCTATTAATTTTGTCTGTTATTGTTTTCCTGGAGTTCAGCTTTAAATGACAGCTATTGTCAGTTCCCCACCATACCCGTTCTTTGCATAGCGATACTGCCCCCTGCACTTACCTTTTATTTGTAACAGCTTCTAGTTCAAATATGTTAAAGTCCCAGGTATCTTCATTGTCGAGTAACTGTGCTATACGAGGTGGAACGTCATTGACCGACGTAACTGGCACTGATAGGTGGCTATGGCTGTGGTGCATGTCTGTAATAATTAGTAATTCATTGTTAGTGCTTAGTAATTTATTGATAAACTATTTCTAAATCTGCTGAACCAGTTGAGAAAATAAAGATAAAACATATAAGTAGTTAACACAATTAATATAATAAGGGCCCATCTGCCGTAACTGCATTATTTCCATATGCTGGAGAGTTAATCAATCTTGTGGTTTCTTATAAATTGTGTCTCCCAGTTGTATATATAAACTGTCTCCCAATTGTGTTGTGTTATCACCCTATCACCTGGGTTTCAACAAACATTACCCAGGCATGATACACGGTTTACCCAACAGGAGAGCAGAAATGCCATGCAGCCATTGCTGTAGTGCATGTAGACAGGAAGTGGCTAAAGAGTGGCTGTAGGAAATCAGCAGCACTGAGGTTACACCTTGAAAAAAATGTTTTTTCATTAAAATAAAAGGCAAGCGTTTATGATACCCGGTACTTTTAGCAAATTAAATGCAGAAATGCACAGAAAGTTCAGGATGCAGTACATATTTTTTTGTTAATAAAACTTGCTTAAAGATTTTTAGTAGACTTTTTTTTAACAAACCTCATTACTACTTAAAACTTGGTAAAAACAAGCCAGCATCTTTGTGACAAACAGCACATCCATTTTTCTATGTACCATCCCCAAACTGGAGCTGAATAGTGCTTTTAAGGCTTCACAAAAGCTGTTTGAAGCTTCCTGCCATATTCAAGAATGCTTTTAAGGGCTCACGCACCCGTGCACTAATGCAGAAGTATACGCATACAGTGTAAAATATGCCTGTATTTGCTGTCTATAGGAATGTATGGACAGAAAACACTGTACATCAGGGACGTGCGGTCAGGGGAGGCAGGTGAGGCAGAGCCTCACCTAGTATTATGGAGGAAAAAGCTGCCAGCTTCAAATCTGAAGCTCACAGCTTTTTCTACATTCAGACCGGCTTGTAACAGGTTACACAGCAGGGAAAGCCTCCCCGCTGTGTAACCTGTCATGGACGGAATGCTGCCTGTTAATTACAGGTGGTGCTGCATCCGGCTTTTGACTGCTAAGTTAGGTTACACAGCAGCGGGCTTCCCACTACTTCTGAAACCTAACATAGTGATGCAAGAGCTGCAACAGCCTCTACTGCTGTTAGAGTCTTGAGCTCTGTGGATGGTTTGGACCAATGGCAAAGCACCATTGGTCCAAGCTGTCCAATAAAAAAAAAACGGGAAAAAACCCAAAACCACTGAGGACATGGATCTCAATGCCTCACCAGTGACAAGCAAGTGAGGGACAGGCAGGCTCCTCCCTGTCTCCTCTACACATAGCTCGGTGACTGGGTTGGGAGCAGGGCGTCACCGGGCACGGAAGGTACCGCACATCACTGCTGTACATGGGCACAAGTGCCCGAATGGGGAACGATTCCTGTACACACTGCTCTTATACAAGCTCTGTACAAAGCCATACAGCAGTACTGACACTGACTAATCTTTTTATAGGAGCTTTACCAAGACTCTAATACCTATACATAAAGCAGACCAGCACTGATTTTGGGCCATAGTGTGGGAAAGGATGTTGAATATTACTTAACTTTTACCAAACAGTCATTTCAGGACAAACCCAAGTTCTAGTATAAAACGTACTTTTTGAGAAAACATATTCATTTCCTGAAAGTCTTCTCAAACCATCCTGCAACAAATGAAAAGAAATCAAGTTTACTTGCTCATAAAGGATCTACATGGTTATAAAACTAAACTATTCAAGTAATTATACAGTCACTAGTAGCAGAGAATGACTCCTAGAGAAGAAGTTTGATCAAGGGTGCATGATCATCCTGAATGACATTAGTGACTAAATCTAAAACCTCTATCGATTCCAGCCAGTTAACTCCACCTTTACCTCCCAGAAAATAAAAATAAACATACATTTTTTTTTACAACTTTGACATGTTAAAACATTTTTAAGATACTGTATATACTGTAGTTACAACAGTCTAAGAAAAGATTTACCTCGCTTTGGTGACATTTCCTTTCACTTCCTCTTGTGTCTATAGGACAGGAAGTAAGGAGAAATCTCCACAAAGGGATACAGTTAGAGAAAAAAAAATCTAATAGGAAAATTGACTGTTTCCTACTCTAGCAAAAGTGAAAATAAAACAGTTTTGGCTTTAGATACATTTTAAAACATTGTGATTTTCCTTGTTTGCTAAACGATAAAAGATTTGCCCCACTAGGGAGCGAGGGATGTTGGATGCTAAATGGCTCTGATGCATTTGTTCGAGTACCAGAATTTTCATTGTTTTGCATTTGTGGCACCTCACTTACCTGAACATACAATGGCTAGTAAACATACATCTTACTATCATTTTATAATTGCTTACTGTCATCAGACCCCCAACAAGGTCATTTGTGTGCGGATCCTCTTCTTTGGTTGCCAGCTGTGGAGAATAGAGCTCTGTGGTCCTCAGAATTTCCAATACTCTGTCCAACGCCTCTGCCACAGTCACGGGACTGTTCTCCTGGGCTGCATTTATTATGTTAATGACCTTGAGAGACAAACAAAGAGTCAATGATGAATTTTTACAGCATATAACATATATATATGAGCAGGATAGATCCATAGCTTTTTTCAAACCCCAATATCAACGAGTTTATCCTTACAAAAATAGCTGCATCAGTTAGCCCCATGGGGTATTTATACTGCAATATACAGTACATATCCATGATGTACCCCACACCATAATCCCCACTCCACCAAACTTTACACAATGCAGTCAGGCAAGAACTGTTCTCATGGCAAACGCCAAACCCAGACAAGGCCATCAGATTGCCAGACAGAGAAGCGTGATTGGTCACTCCAGAGAACACGTCTTCACTTCTCTAGAGTCCAGTGGCGGCGTGCTTTACACCACTGTATCCAATGCTTTGCATTGCACTTGGTGATGTAAGGCTTGGATGCAGCTGCTCGCTCATGGAAACCCATTCCATGAAGCTCTCTACGCGCTGTTGTTGTGCCAATCTGAAGGCCACACGAAGTTTGGAGGTCTGTAGCTATTGACTCTGCAGACAGTTGGCGACTTCTGTGCACTGTGCACTTCAGCATGCGCTGACCCCGCTCTGTCATTTTACATGGCCTACCACTTTGTGGCTGAGTTGCTGTTGTTCCCAGTTGCTTCCACTGTGTTATAATACCACTAACAGTTGACCATGGAATATTTAGTAGCAAGGAAATTTCACAGATGGACTTACTACACAGGTTGCAACCTATCATGGTACCACGCTTGAATTCACTAAATACCTGAGAGCGACCCATTCTTTCACAAATGTTTGTAGAAGCGTCTGCATGCCTAGGTGCTTGATTTTATACACCTGTGGCCATGGAGGTGATTTGAACACCTGAATCCAACTCAAAGCAGAGCTAGTATAACAGAATGGCAATAGAAGGCAATGCCTACCCAAAAAGAATTATGTACTGCCTTACATATCCTTTGTATGGCATTTCCTATTATTTATTTCACAGTAAAGGTGTCCATATAATAAAGATACAATTCCCCCATCAGGTCAGTGGATGTGCCACCTCTGTCTGTTGCAAGTGAATAAACTAGCTCTCCTGCTGATGGAAAACAGGAAAAGTTCATACATGTAGCTCTTTGTCATTACCTTTGTAATGGGAGCCTCTATGGTCATGGTGTGAATCCGTGCCATTGATGAATACCTGTGGTTCTGTAAACTGGCTGCTGTATAGTAAAAAATAAATAGTTATTACAAAGGCTTCATCAGTAAGGCATACTGAGAAATGTCTGAATTTGCTACTTTAAATGAAACCTGTTATAAGGGAAATATGTAGGCTGCCATTGCTGATTTCTTTCATATAATGCCAATTTCCTAGCTATCTCTGGCTTCAATATTTTATAAATTGCAGACAAAAGTATGCAACAAGTGAAGTCAGGACTCTTCCTCTTTATCCAGTCGATGGACATGACAGTCACGTATTTGCCATTTCCTGAAGGAGATCAGTAATGGCTGAATACATATTTCTTTGTGAATGGTTCTCCTTTGAGCCAGTGGTTCATAATGGTTAAAATAAAAGATGCACGTGAAGCAATGACAGTACACACAAATGCCTCTAGATTTCTTCTTTCATAAGTTAATTTTTTAAACTAGCATAGCAATGCCATTAAAGAAAAAATAACCTGGCTAAGTAAATTGTATATCCTAAAGATTCCACAACATTTTAATTTTAGAATGTAAGTGTAACTGAAGACATTTTAGATTTAATAAATGCAAACATAGTAAAATGTATATCCAGAAAACTTCAAGTCCCAGTGATTTTATATAAATACATCAAACCTATTCATTTGTTATTTTAAAGCCTTGGTTCTCACCTGGCGGGTCGTGACCCAAAAGTGGGTCGCAACCTCGTGTTCAGTGGGTCCCCGTGTTCCTTCCGCTTTTCTAGGTGAGAGGCTCCTCTGCCTCCACCTAGTGCAGCACTGTCAGTTATCACTCCAGGCAGCCATTCAAATATGCTGCCCAGCGCCGAGTGTCAGCTTGAGGTGGGGTGAGCTAGGGCCACCAGGGAGCTCCATCCATAAGTGCATTGCTTACAGATCCCTTGTGTGTCCTGTAGAGGTGCCTGGACTGGAGTGATGTAACATTCTGGCTCCTGGCATCTCTACAGGATGCGCAATGGAGCTGCACAAGTGGATGCACATATGGATGGATCTCTGTCACAGCACATCAGCCCACAATAGACCCCAGGCTGAGGATCCACTCCAGCTCTCTTAAGATGGGGAGACTGGGTGGATTTTTTTAAAAATGTAAATTTTTTTGGGAGTGCGTATGTGTGTGAGAGAATGTCTGTGAGTGTGTGATATTGTGTCTGTGGGTGTGTGTCAGTGTTTTCGAGGGCCCATTCACACTACTACAGTGCGTTAATCGCACAGTCCCACGCAATCAAGCCTACCATGTGTTCAGGTGTAAGGTGCATTGCACTGCCGTTCAAATCTGAATGGCACCCCAAACGCATCTCCCATCCACAGTTCTATTGCCCGCATCGGAATGCGCGGTACCGCATTCTTGGTTCATGACTTAATGACCAAGGACAAATGTGGGTCCTGAGGTTACACAAGTTGAGAACCACTGTTTTAAAGAATTAGAATTAGGAAAGTAAAATATTCTCTTCCCCATACTTAGAGCTGGCATGGGACACTGCAGTTGTTACTTGCCGTCTCTATATCTAGAGCTGAATGATCATGTGACCACCAATCACTCAGCTCACTGTCTTTTCCCTGTAGAGAGCGGTGACTGTCAGTGACCGCTCCCCACATGGATTTCCCCTGTGGGGTGGCGCAGCTGGCTCTGGCTTTAGAGAGGCAGTGCCAGCTGTCAATCAGACAACCGGGTGGATCATGTCAATATGGTCAGGATCTTTCCTTTGTGCTGTCAGCATATAGCAGACAATGGGTGACAGGAGTACATTAGTAAACATACTCTTGTGACCTAAAAGAGAAGTAAAGCCTAAAAAAAAAGTTTGGCTCTACTTCTTTTTTAAATCTGTTGATTTGCAAAATGGAGCAGGGAAAAAAAACTATCTTACATCAACCAATTAAGGATTAACTTTCATTCTCATTCTTGAACACAATTAAATTAATGGGGAAAATGTCACAGTTTGCTACTGGCAATGCCTCCACCTGTGTTGCTCCAGTTTTTACAAACCAACCTGACAAATTTTTATAAGTCTCAATCTTTTTATGTGGAAAATAATCTATTTGTGAGCTTTTTGTTAGAAATGGAATCGGGTCATTTTTCTTACCGTCACTGCTCCGTGATGTGATCGACCTTACATCTATTGACTCTTTCCTTCTGTTCTTATGTCTAAATGAGTGGGAATTGGACTCTGAAAGACAATGTAAAAATACAGTTTTATGCAAAGTGTTAAGAATACAAACTGCAATATATATTACATACATGGCCCTGGGTCTAGATGTGCCCTATCCTAGTACAAATTAAAAGGGGTCTCTTATTACATTCCTTTTACATCTTCCTTTTAAATTCCCATTCCCATTGGAGAGAATAAAACATACAATTTGGCTGGTTGTTTTGAGCAGTATTAGCTGAGACACAGAGAAGGAGGAGAGTCAATTTGTGCAATAAAACTGCAAGTTGAACGTTTGTGCCCTTTGGAGAAGGGTTGAGCAGTGCTGCAGGTGCCAGCTGTTTCAGGGTAAAACAATAATGATCGACAAAGAAAAGCCATTTTTTCCCTGAGTAGGTTCGGCTAGGGGGTCGCAGGAAAGGCCTACAGGGGGTACAAGGATGCCTACAGACGTATATGTTGTTCCTCAATCTGACTGTAAACAACACATTGGACTTGTCACTTGGTAGGTCTGCTTTATGTTTCTTACAATAATGGTCCTCAACAACCAATATAGTTTGAAGTTTTGCAGAAGCTAAAGAGCTACATATTATACAGTACATTTTATGATTTGTTGTCATTCAAAAATATTTGGTTGCATATTAATATAACATTTGAAAACAATCAACCTGTAAGTGCATTCTCTCCAGAGTATTTCTCATCTCTGCTTATCTTATAGATCTGGAAAAATCAAGAAAAATATTAGGTTAGTCAGTTAGCTGCTTTATCTGTTTCACTTGATGATAACTGAGCACTTTGGTGAATACTTGGTTGTCAATAAGCACTATGATTACCACTTGGCAGTCTCTGGGCACTGTGATGATTACTTGGTGGCAACTAAGCACTTTGATGATCACTTTGGTGGGTACTGACCAATTTGATTACTAAGTCCCAGTTCACACAGCCGGTGTTTGTAGCTCCTATTTGTCAGCACGGAAAAGCTCCGCACAAGCCTGTAAATATGCGTCTTTTTTTAGGGGATTAGCACGATGTGACCCTTTTTCCTTTTCCCAATTGGGCGGATCTGCCCAAAAAAGAAGCTCATGTACCTTTTTCCAGCAACCAGCTTTTTTCTCAGCGCAACACAATGCTGAGACGTGAACGGGGACTATAGAAATCCATAGGATTTCTTGTGTGGAGCTTTTACGTGCTGGAAAATACGAGCTCCAATTGCCCTGGTGTGAACAGGGACTTAAAGCCAACTTAGCAATGTTCTTGAAAATAGATCAGATGGAAAAAATTGGCAATAAACATATGTAATAGTGAGTTTTTTGCACTTGGATTATTTTTTACATTCTAATGCAGTTACTAACTACTTCTAAAGCAAGGCAGGCAATCTTATTGTATGAAACTGTGCTCAGGTTGTTCTCCCAAACACACAGAAGCATCTGTTACAGGCTTCATTTCCTGCTAGAGAGTCAAAACATTATTAACCATTAGTTTTATTTTTTCCAATAACAAAAAGGAAGCCTTAAAGTAGAATGAAACCTTTGTTTGTTTTTTTTTGCATATATCTACTGCTAGCAAGCAGTAGGTATATGCAAAAACTTTTTTTTTAAAATAAAAAAGTTACCAAATAGGTAAAAACTTACCTGTGTCTCCGTCGCGTGCTCCCGTCCGAAGATCTGAAGATTCTCAAGCGGCCGTGAAGGATCATGGGCATGCGCAGTAGAGATCTTCAGCCATGAGAAAAGGAGAGACACAGGGTAAGTCAATGCACGCAGCTGGCAGCGTGCACGCGGACAGACACCGTGGGACCCGAGGAATCTGCGCTGGATCAGAAACCTGTACCTGCGCTGGAGTGACTCCTGAAAACCACTGGAAAGAAGAGGATGATCGGATCAAGAAGCATAATTTAAGGTAAGTCCTCAAAGCAGCTTATGGGGGGATGTGACTTTAATGTCACTTTAAGGCCCCGTTCACATATAGCGACATACCTTTTGCAGCGGATCCGCACGGCCGGGATAGCGCGACTTTCGGGGCGACGTTCCAGCGACGTTCCAGCGACGGTAGCGCGACCTTCCCCGTCGGGCTCCATAGAAAAAAAGTAAAATCGTGCAAAATCCGCAGAAAAAAGGGTCCGGTAGAAGCGACTTGCGACCGCGACGAGCGACGCGCGACATGGAGTTAAGACAGCTCCATTGAATAACATTGGCCGGCGACTTCTCGCGATATCGCGCGGCAAAAATGCGCGATATCGCGGCGGAAATCGCGCGACAATTCGCTATATGTGAACGGGGCCTAAAGGAGAACTATGGGGTGAGTGAATTACATTGAAACTGTCACACATCGACTCTATTGATTGAGAAGTGAGCGAAAACATAATGCCGCTCGCTCACTTCCCAATCATCTCCCTGCAGAGAGCGGTAACTGTAAGTCACCGCTCCCCACAGGGATTCCCCCATCCTCTCTCCGATCCTCCAACGCTGACTGGAGGAACGGGCTGGGGAGAGGGCGGGCACAGCTGGCTCTGGAGTCTCCGCTGGATAGGCATAGCCCACTGTCAATCAGCCAGCTGGATGGATCTCAACAGTATTGTCGGGATCCGTCCCAGTTGTGGGACGGATCCCAATAGCCCGCTATATACTGAGTTTTAGGTCACGGGAGGACGTTAGTATATGTCCTCCCATGACCTTAAGGAGAATTATGGGGAAAAAGTTACCCCATAGTTCTATTTTAAGGAAATAGCTATTTCAATCACATGTTTTAAACTATACATGGGGTTCCTTATGAATATTACTTTGTACACAACACTGAACCAAAGACTCCATAATCATGTAGTGTGAGGGCCTACAAAACAATCCATTCAATTTACATCTAGGTATACAGAACCATACACATCATTCTTGCTTTGTTATATCAGATTGTCTTGATGGGGTTTGTAAAAGGGAAACCCTCATGAGAGAATAATAGGGACTGCCATTGCTGACTTCTCCTTTAGAGGATGCTAGTTCTACGGTTGACATGCTAAACCTCTGACCCAGAATATGTATAGAGAAAAGGAATTTTGGTACTTTTCTATCATTCATTTACAGAACACTTGTTCCAGGTCTGGCAGTTTGTTCCAGACACAACCAGACAACAAGCTAATTCCAAAAGGAGACCAGCAATGGCAGCCCCCATACCTCTCTCATGATAGAATTACTTAAACTTTATGTTAATCCAAAACTTTTTCTTTTAGTCCTAGATATTGCAGAGAAGACCCCTATCAGGTTATTTTTTGTTGCTGGTGTCCCATGGGGAGATGTCTCTCCACATCCTGTCCTGAAGATGCAACAGGAGATGAGGGGAAATCTCTCCACAGAAAATTGAATTTTTATCCTAGATAATTGTCATTGAAACAGGTGCCCCTATTGGAGAACTTTGCGTCATCTCTTACTCAGTTGACAACGCAAAATGTTCGAGTTTCCCCTCACTTTCTGTATCTGTGACAATAGTCAGGACAAGGACAGAACTGACAATGCCTAATGGGGACACAGACATAGCAATAACCTTGACACAGGGTTTCATACTTTCCTCCTCTATCAAAATCTAATAAACTATCATTTCATACATTTAAGTCCTGGGGCCAGGTGTTACCAATGACCAGCTTGGGCTGATCAAGTGGCTGAGACCAGCCTTATTAGAAGCCAGCCCAGTGCTCAGTGTGGAGAGGGAGTTGTGTGGGTGCAGGAAGCACAGAGCCACAGCAGACTAAGGTGCGTGCGGGACACGTGGAACAGCCAGGGAAGGCTGGGAGAGGTCGGGAAGGCCAGTGACCCGAGGACCGCTGGGACACACTGCTGAGAGAGCAGAGTGAGGGCTCACGAGGGAAGCTATCTTGTGCAACAGGGGAGGTCTACCCTGTGGATGGAACGAGATGTATGGCGTTTGCCCTTAATAAAACTACATTTTACTTGCACCTGCGGTCTACAGTCGAGTGTCCTAGAATCACTGCAGAAATGCATTTGAAAGTAAAAGTCATAATAATAATAATAATACCTAAATTACTTCCACCCAAAAAGTAATCCAAAAAATAAAAATCATCTGATCCTTTGTTGCACTGGAGCAAAGCTATAATGTCCATAGATTGCTTGCATAACAATAATTACATAAAAGTGAGGACATGGTAATAAATGTGGTTTCATTTTGCACAGAAAAGCAGTCGTACCTGTTTATTGTTGTCACTGCCACTGCACAGCTTCTTGATGGACACAAAATGTCTAATTTTTCTAGAAATATAAACAGGCAACAATTAGCCATTTCCACCCAACTGGTTATCAACCACTCTATACACATTACAATGCTGCTGCAGACTGGTCTTTTTATATTAATATTATATGCATATGTTTAGTTTTTTTGGAAAAAAAGTCATAATAGGGATTTAAGAGTGTTGGCAAAATGAGAAGAAAAATAAAACGTTATGGCAACAGTCATTTGGTATCAAGGAAGAGCATGGCACAGTTTAAATCAATGCTATTCAAAATATAAGAAGAAAACAATCAGTTTGGTAAATAGTACTCACACTGGTGATAGACGTTTATGTAGAACACTGACATATGTAATCAGCAAGAAATAAACTTTGAGTGTATTTTACAAAGTGTCCTAGCTATGAAACTGCTGAGTGGAAAATACCTAACTGTTATGTTTTACTTGCAAGAATATTTCCCAGGGTAACGAAAACATTTTATAATCCTACAGTTCCATGCAGTCTGCCATCTGCTGGCTGCAAGTTGTAAATATGATTTATATGTAATTTTTCATATTTATATACCTGAAATAATTTAAAAATGTATGTTTTTTGGTAATAAATGAATGTAAGAAAATATCTGCTTCTCTTCTTACAATTCCTATTCCCAAATAGACTGAACTCAGACTTCACTTTTACTACAAGTCCTTAGATATCTTAGTCTGCTTAAAGCCCAATCAAACACAAGTAGCTATACAGTCAAATAGACTTTATACTAAAAAGCTCTATTTTCATAGTCTTACCTCCAATTTCATTATGGAGCAATTGTGCAGGGTGTGTAAAACATGACTTTTTAGTCCAATATACACCAGAGTTAGCCTGCATGAATGGAGGAATCTTCCACTGCAGCTATTGTATTTTGACAGTCGGGCTGTCAAAATACCTGAACAATGCATGCATCTGACTGGATGCAGGGGCCGTTCAGTGCACAATGTTCCACCTGGCTCCATTGATTTTTCAATTGAAGGATGACAGGTGAGAGGTGGCAGACAGGGCCACCAAATGAGCGAATTTTGGCTGGTTTATGATTTGTGACTTGGAAAATGTGCTAATTTCTCTGTGCTGGCAGAGCTGAGTAGCGCTGGCCATAAACTGAGTGAATTCTGTCTGGTTCATCAAGAACTGGATTAAATTCGATCAGTGTATGGGCAGCTTCACTGAGTTCTGCCAGTGCAGAGAAAAGCCAACCCTCCACCTGCTGAACAAGTCTCCAGTAAGTAACAAGCAGTAAGAAGAACACTCCCATACATAGAGAGGGCAGATGTGTGTGTCCTTCAATGAATGCAGAAAAAAAGGATTTTACCGTGAGTACAAAAATACTATTTTCTCTTCCGTTGATTGAAGGACACAGTGGCGAAGAACTGGAACCACAGGGGCATCGCAAAGCAGAACAACATGAGCGGTGGGCAACAAAACTATCCCCACACAGAAAATGAAAAACCCATCTAAAAGGGACGCCTTCAAAGCCTTGCGCCCGAAACTAACATCCGCAGATGCCACAACATCAACCTTGTAGCAGCTGGAAAAGGTTTGAACAAAGGACCAAGTGGCCACCTTACAAACCTGCGAAATTGAGGCACTATGACCAAAAGCCCAGGACGCCGTGACAGCCCTAGTAGAATGAGCCGTGACAAGAAAGGGGGGTTTCTGACCCCAAACAGCATAGGCCTGAACAATTGTGTTGTGAATCCAGAGTGAGATAGTGGCATGAGACTCAGCCTGGCCCTCCCAAGGACCATCCGTGACCACAAACAGAGAATCCGTTTTAGAAAAAAATGCCAGAACATCCAAATAGACACGAAGAGCTTGAATGACATCCAGACAATGGAGAGCTCTCTCCTTCCAATGTCCCATGGGGAGATGTCTCTCCACATCCTGTCCTGAAGATGGGCAAAGAGAGAGCAAAACAATATCTTTATTAAGATGAAAGGCCAAAAGGACCTTAGGAAGAAATGATGACCTGGGTCAAAGCACAACCTTGTCCTTATGAAGAACCAAAAATGGGGAATTGCACGCCAAGGCCGCCAGCTCTGAAACTCTCTGAATGGAGGAATTAGCAACAAAAAAACACCACTTAGTGAGACAAAGTTAAAAGCGGAATCTCCCTCAAAATTTAAGAGTAGACTCCTGCAACACCAAATGTAAATCCCAAGGAGGTAACGGAGACTGGACAGGGGGAACTATCTGCCAGATAGCCCACAGCACCAGATGTCCCTGCCACATGGACCTCCGCCAGACCCCCAGCCCAATACCTACTGTCCAAGAGCATGCTGGAGGCGACCCTGGAAGGCGACGAAGGGACCAGCAGCCGAGGAGACGTCGACGCCAGGTGGGTAGATGCACATACCATAACCAAACAATCAGGTTCTGCAGGGACTATGGGCCGATACGGACCATAGTCCGGGCGCCACCTGCCAGTGTGGCGTACTGTGCCTGGGCAGTCAACACCCCCAGTCATATGTGAACATCTTGAAATGGAGTAGTCGCAGCTAAACCACAATCATCCAGCGTGTCACCCAGTCGACACTTGCTTGAAGATCCAGACAAAACAAACGAAAAAAACAGGAAGGCATTTTAGAGAAAAATTCTTAGCTCCTTACACCTGACACTAGACAAAAAACTGGAGACTTGTTCAGCAGGTGAGGTTGCCCCTAGGCTCCTTTGTGCCTTTTGTTTTGTGCCTAGCGTCCTTCTCCTGCAGGTTGGCGATATAACCCTGTGGTTCCAGATCTTTATCACTGTGTCCTTCAATGAACGGAAGAGAAATAGGTATTTTTTTCCTAGTCACAAATCATAAGTGGGAGCACAGGACTATAAAGAGATAAAAAGGCTTTGGATCTCAAATGAGCTACACCTCACTTTTTGATTTGCATAATTAAATACAATTCTGCTTAAAACTTACATGTTTTTTTTTCTTCTGATGCTGATAACAAAGCTCTATTTTTCTAAAGGCGGTGTTCCAAAGACCCAGTGTATCTCCCAGTTCACCAAGGTCCCCTCTGTGTGCTTGTATTTGCATATAGCAATTACACAGAATCTCCAGAAAGCCGGAACCCAAATTGTTAAAGGGAAAAAAGGTTTTCCTAAATGCAATTTTACTTAGTCCACCTGATGATGTTAATACTCACCCTCCCTGACCGACTACAGGAGTGACTCTCACATGTTGCTGGATGCTGTCTCCCGATTTCCGTCTTGCATAATAAATCCCTTGCCATTCCTTTCAGAGGTAAAGTAAAATAATAAAAAAAATTAAAGAGACGTGGTCACATCTTGACTTTAAATCTGCAGACAATTTTGCTGTTGTTGTGCGAGATCAATTGTCTATTTTAATTTAAACCCTTTTTCCACATGAACTCTAAAACTAAACCTAACCCCTAAAGGTAACCCTCAATACTTAAACTCCTCCTAACACGTAACCCTTAACCTAACCTTAAAACTTTCCATTTTACCTGACCCAGAAGCTTAAAGTATACAAGACAATAGTGCTTTTTTATATACTCGGAAAGAGTAATGAGGGCTTAGACCACGGTCAGGTTTTTAAAGGAGAACTATGGGGTCAGTGTTTTTCCCTATTGTTCTCCTTAAGGTAACGGGAGGACACAAACTAGCGTCCTCCCGTTACCCTAAGCTCAGTATACCGCGAGCTATAGCTCGCGGTATACTGAGACGCCGCAGCCGGAGTGGATCCCGACGTAGATGACGGGATCCGCCCAGCTGCGTGAGTGACAGCTGGCTCTGCCTATCTAGACTCCCCCGTCAGTTCCGCCAGTCAGCGCTGGCAGATCGGAGCGGGGAGAGGGGAGTCCATCCCCTCCCCCGTCACGGCAGAGAGCCGTGACAGGATCGAGAGGTGAGCGAACCTGGTATGTGTTCGCTCACCTCCCGATCTACTGAGCCGACCTGTGACAGTCTCATTGTCACAGGTCAGCTAGAACTATGAGGTGAGTGGAAATCACTCATCTCATAGTTCTCCTTTAATGATGTCCCTATTAGGGGGATTCTATCTCTCTCCAACGGTCCCTATCACCATTATCGCCGGGAATGAAAGTGAGGGTAAATTCAAATGTTTGAGTTGCCACCAGAAGAGGAATAGAGGGGAAATTTTCCAATGGGGACACTTGTTCCCACCACAACTGTATAAAATGGTATATCACTCAAATTTGAAAGATATCCCCTCACCTCCACTTGAGTCAGAACAGGAGGTTAAAAAAAATCCTTAAGGTCTTAAAGTGACATTAAAGTCTAATTTTTTTTTCTCCCCCCCGCTGATACAGCGCTGACTGCTGTTTCTTCTAGGTCCAACGCACGTTGACGGGCTGCCTGCATTGACTTACCCTGTGTCCCTCCTCTTCTCCTGGCTAAAGATCTGCACTGCACATGTGCCCACCCCATGGTCCTTTGCGGCCGCCTGAGAATCTTCAGATCTTTGGACTGGAGCGCGCGGCGGAGACACAGGTAAGTGTTAACCTTTTTGGTAACTTTTTTCTTTTTTAATGTTTTTGCATATATCTACTAATTGCTAGCAGTAGATATATTCAAAAACTATGGAGTTTAATTCTACTTTAACCCTCCCCTACTCTATAAAAAAAATTAAAATGTTTTGGCGTTAGATGTACTTTAACCTAATCCTACCCTTAAAGGAGAACTATGAGGTGAGTGATTTTCACTCAACCTCATAGTTCGAGCCAACGTGTAACAATGAAACTGTCACAGGTCGGCTCAGTAGATCGGGAAGTGAGCGAACACATACCGTCGTTTGCTCACTTCTCGATTATGTCCCTGCAGAGATCTGTGACTGTCACTCACGGCTCCCTGCAGGGATTCCCCCCGTCCCCCGCTCTGATCCTCCAGCGCTGAGTGGAGGAACGAACGGGAGAGGGGGCGGGTATAGCTGGCTCTGCCTCTAGATAGGCAGAGCCAGCTGTCAATCACACAGCTGGGTGGATCTTGACAGCTGTAGCTCGCGGTATACTGAGCTTTTGGTCACGGGAGGACGCTAGTATATGTCCTCCCGTGACCCTAAAGAGAACTACACTTATTTTAATGTAACCATAACCCTTAAATGCCAGGCTAACCTTATTGGTGATGATCCTTGCAGTTCATACTGAGCGCAACAGCACCTAATCTCCAACCAAGTGCTACATACTTCAGAAACAGGGAATCTTGTAACATCTCAACCTAACTGTGTAATCTCCTTCTTCAGTTCTGATTCTAGACTTACCTGCAAATGCCCAGGCAAAAACAAAATAAATAGGAAAAATTAAATGTAAATGTCAAATTTTGATGCAGCCATTAGCAAGCTTACCTTTCCCTTTTTGATGCATGTATTGATGGTATCTAAAAGGTCTGCTCGGTTCTTGTCACTTTTTGGCAATTCTATCAGTTCTTTCCCCAGGAGTTCCTCCTTGCTATAGCCCATCATCCGTTCAAAAGCTGGATTAACATACTGACAAGTTATAAGTACTTAGAACTGTGAAGTTATTATGAGTTTGTATAAAACATTATCATTATAATATTCTTAACAATAATAACAATAGTAATAATAATTGATGTGTCAATCTTTTTTTCTAAAAGTTGTTTTTCTTTTACTTTGGTCAGGCTTCCAGTGTGGCCACCAGTCCATGCTCCCCTCTTGGTCATGGGCCTATATATATATATAT